TATATATATATATATATATATATATATATACAGAGTTACTCTCTTTGCGTGCACGCTCTTAGGTTGGGTGGGGTTGACTGATGGGGATAAGCTGTCTCTGAAGCCCACTCTGTTCCAAGACAATCGCCTGCTTTTTCTAGAGCCTGTTGAAGGCGTTTGCGAGGCGTTTAACGCCGTCCAGTCGGGGAAGTATGACGTAAAGGTCAGTCCACTTCTGTTTTTGGCCGACGTAAAGCACATCTTAATAAGGGTGAAAATGAAGTAGCCAGGAAGTACCTGGTTGGCCTGCTCGAGTTTGTTCTAAACTCTTCAGAAGCACGCATACGTGGCAAGTGGCGGTTTTACCATGCGCGTATGCATGTTTGCATCTACGTGGAATCCGTCGTTTACGTGCATGTTTATATGTATGTGTGTGTATGTATGTGTGTGTTTATGTATGTGTGTGTTTATGCATGTGTGTGTGTGTGTGTGTGTGTGTGTGTGTATGTATGTATGTGTATGTGTGTGCTTGCGTTGTTTTCTGATATGCATGCAGTGCTGGAGCAAACACGAGTGTCACCTGGGCATTGAAGGGGACAAGAACGTATTTCTGCTGATACCAAATTTGCGTGATGTTGTGGTGTATTCTCATCCAGAGCGTTTGCCCGCTTTCCCAAAGGCGTGGAAACCGCTGCTCTTTATTGTGAACCCCTCTGTGGTGGCGTTTCGACTGACTGACCGAGTGTGTTTGGTGGTGACGATTGATGAGAGTCACACAGTGAAAGTGCAGTGCGTTGACTACAATGGGGGCTTTTTAGTCTCTCATCCGTCCACAAATGCAGCACTTGCTTACGGTGCAATGGTGGTGAAGGGTTTTGATACACTTCCGAACTGCGAGGTGATACCGCACATGAATTGCGCCTCGGGCGACTGGGGCTTCTTCGTGCAGTTGTTTGAGTGGGGGTCGTTTGTAATTCCTAAGTCTTTAGACCTGACGCGGCCCACCTCAATCCTAGGTCTCGGACTCGGAAAGAAGGTCGACTGTTTGGGGGTGCTGCTTCACCCACCCAACATCATCATCATGGTGCACTTGGAATCGCCCAAGGTGCTGAGGGCCCTCAGCTACGGTCGCGACTACCTTATGACGGCCATAAAAACTAGCGAAACAGACATCGACATCTACTTCATCATGGATGGGCAAATGGTCCGCTACAGCTACTCCTTTGATCTTCGAATAAACAGACCTGGGAAACCCCAACACCACGATAACGTGGCCTTAAAGTGTACACTTGAACTCGACGAAAAAAAGAAATGCAACCGCTTCATCTTTCACAGCACAAAAAACTCAACTGTTGTTGTGCCGGAAGGCTGCCCATCAGGAGAGGGAGACCACCTAGTGAATAAAACTCTCATCGCAGTTTTCGATGCGGAGATATGTAAGTTTTATCACGTATACGCACACTGGCTTGTACCTTCGTCTTCTCTGCCTTCATATCTGTTTATATGTTTCATATTGTGCCCAGATATTTGTTAACTTCGTCCCAGCCCCCCATGTTATTCACTGTTCATTTCGCATGTGCTGAATTTTTCCTCTTGCAGGCATGTACCTCACGCATCCTCCTGCCCTGAAGCTGTGCTCTGCCTTCAACACTGTGGCACTGCCCATCGACTGACCCGTTAAATTTGTCGACGAGATAATAACGCATGGGTTGGTTTCTTGGTTCCGGGTGTCCTCTTCTCCCTTAGCAAGTAGGGTAGACCTTTTCTGGAAAATGTCGAGGGCTGGAGGGGAACTTGAACTTTTCCGGGCTACTTCAGTACTTGTAGGCTTGCCCACAGCAACCTCAACCCATCGTGTGTTCGTTCAGAGAGTGTTAGTTCTCCAACACTCACGGCCACCTGCAAGCACCTGCACATACACCGGGAGCGGCTCTGCAGTTTCTGCTGCCTCGGGGCGACCTAATAGAGCTTATTGCACTGTAACACTGTGAAGAGACAGGCGGAGATGAAGGACATCAGCAAGCGCATGCTTGCTCTAGTCCCCCTCCACTACAACTTGGATCATTTGGGTCTTGTTCTTCTCGCCGAGCTACGTGTACCTGACAGCTTTATCAAGTGTCCGTACTCGCGTTTATCCATGTTATATGCCAGTAACTTGCATACCTTTTGCTGGGTTGGCTTCGTCAACCCGGCAAAACACCCAAATATTTGCAGAGAGAGTGCAGCTAGAGGCTGCCGCCTTCGGTGGAGACTGCATAGTTCAAACGAAAGGCATCGGACAGCCGATAAGTTTTCGACGGTTGCTCTAACGCTCAAGTGAAGCGTAGACATGCACACATACTGTGGACCCCAAACTTCAGCCTACAAGGGCGACAGGTCGCCTGCATTATGCCGTGTGTGCAAAAATTCGAGTGCACGTACTGGAGAATGAAGAAATGAAACCAAGAAGGAATACGAATTATCCGAGGGTCCAGGTTCCTGGATGCGAATGCGATACACCGTTGGGGCAGTACACTGAGGCTTTCGCCTGTGGATATACTTAGGCAGGAATACCGACGTAGGCGGCCCGCTGTTGTGTCTGTACAGCGTAGACGAGAGGCTATACATAATTCGGCTGTTTTGGTTGTCTTCGGGGTGTATGTGTGATGGTGAAAGCATTTATATTGGCATGAGGGGGGCCGCCCGAAGAAGGTGAAGGAAGATGAGATACAGGGCAGACCAACTACAACATCCAACTAAAACAAGCTTCTGCAATAACTCAAACTATGGTGCTTAGCGAGCTGCTGTGGGAGAAGTGAGAGAGCCAGGCCCGGATATCTGTAGCCGTCGGCTCTGCTCTTCAGGATCAGCTGGTATCAAAGCGTCGTCATCACATTTTCGCTACAAGTATCTTCTATGCTTGTATAGATAGACATAATCTATATATATGTATGTATACACATACTATACATGTATAGACGTGCGTTTGAAAAACTGCTTTTAGTACGTTGAACTCCCTGGAGGGAGGCGAGAGGGTGCGCAAACTGACGGATTCCTGTAGGACCCGTGTAATGTTTCAGTTGCTACAGAAGGGAGGGATGGGAAAGAGAGGCTCTGTTCATTCTTTCCGCACCATCATCGTTTGCCTCTGTCTTCTGTCCTGCCGGTCTAGGCAGCGGGTGCATGCTCTCTGTCACTGCTGTTGTTCTTGTTGATGCTGTTATTGTTGTTGCTGCTGCTGCCGGTTGCTCGAGGAAGCGGGAGAGGTGCAGTACATCTTCCACGAGGTCCTGCTGCAGGTGTATGTCCAACTCATTGGGGGCTGCGCGGGTTTTTATGCATCGCCCAAAGGGGTTAATAAGGGTTTGCAGTTCGGCGAGGCTGAAATCAGGAGAAGCAGCTGCTAGAAGGCATTGTCCTATTGCTCGTTGACGTTCTAAGAAGGCTTCCGCCGTGTATGGGATAGAATTCAGACACCCTAACAAACCAGACAACAGCAGCTGCAAACAACGACGGTAGTACGGCAGCAGCACCTTTTCCAATGCTTCGCGCGAGTCCGCATTCAAATGCGGGGCCACTGAGGAACTGTACAGAGGAGGAGAAACCAATTCTCCAGTGCCGGATGCTACAGAACCACAGGGAGACAGCAGCCCCTCCTCCTGCCGTCCTTCCTGGTGTTGGTGCTCTTGCTCCTGCTGCACCTGCGCCTGCTGGTCTTCTCGCTGCTGATGTCGCTGCTGCTGGTGCTGCCTTTGTTGCTGCTGCTGCTTGAATTGTTGGTTTTGTTCCTGCCGCTGCTTCTCCGCGACCTCGCTGCATCTGGTGTTGCCTTCAGTTGTGGGCAATCCACAGCGAGGCATGCGCAACGAAGAGTTGGAGGGTCCCCCAGAGCCCCCCACGCGGGCAGAAGACCCTGATAGTTGTTGTGGCTCCTCGGCTGCAGCATACAACAAGCAAAGCTTCAGCAAAGCAGCAAGTCACCTCAGAAGCTACGGCTGCGGGGGTTTAGGCTATAGGTTCTATGTTTTAGAAGTGGCAGAAAGTGTGCGCAACCAGGCAGTTCCTCTGCTTCCCCACCAGACCCTAATAAACCCCTGGCACTATAATGTCAGCTTATCTAATAAACCGTCTTCTATGGTAAACCCTTGCCCAGTAAACGGTGTCAACACGCACGTTCTTTGTCCTAGTAAACCCGTATATCTAGTAAACAATTTAATCTACTCAGCGCGAACCCTTCCCTGTCCCTTACCCCTTCTTCGTTTGGCCGTTCTTGCATTGACCGTGGCTTGCGCTAGAGTAAACTTGTCGATGCCTGCCTCTACTGGATCTTCTCTTTCTTCCTCCACCTTCCTGTCTGCTTCCAACGATCGTTGTGTTTCCTTCGTGATATAAAACTTTGCCCCAAGTGTGTGCACGGTAGTGCCTTGGGGATATTTTTTCTGGCCTCCAGCCGGGTTCCTCTTAAGGGCCCAGGTCTGCTGCTGCTGCTGCTGCAGGGACAGCCCCTGTGCTGCTGCAACGGCAGTCTCCTCTGGCCGTGGGAATTTGCGGGGTCTGCCGCGTCTCCTGTGACTCGCCGGAGCAGAAGCAGTCCCACCAGCGGATGTCAATGTTTGACTGTTTGCCGCTGCTGAAGAGGGAAGAGGCAGCGGCGAACCGTTGAGGAGAAAGGGATCCTTGTCTCCAGAGCAGCTGTCCCCGTAGTAGAAGTCCGGATGCAAACTCCTGAAGAACTCAGCCGCGCTCAGTACTTGCTGTTTCGCTCCCTCTCGTGCTGTTCGCTTTTCAACAAATACGTCGGCGCTGTAGTTCTGGCAATACACCCGACGGAGAGAAAGGAAGTCGAGCACGTTCCACCTTCTGTACACCGCAAATTCATGGCTGCAAGAAGGAGAGGAAGAGCTGAGGTGTACAGATACCCCAACACGAAAACATATTTCTACTCCACATACATAGTCTGCACACAGCACTGTGTCCAGCGGCCTTTCTTCAGTTGTATAAAACGCAGTTATAACACCTCTTATGCGGCGAGAAGGCCGCAGGCTTGTGTTCTTCCTGCTGCTGCTGTGTTCTACATACAGCTCTGCCAACGCCGCGTCCTGCTCAATTTCGCGAGTGTACATCTCTCTAAAAAAGGAATTCATTGACCCCAGGCACGAAGGGGGAATGCATGCGAGGCGAGTTCGCACCAAGTCCACCAGGTGTATACGCACCTCCTGGCCCACAAACAGGCACATGGAGGTGGATTGACACCCCACATCCGAAGATGAACCTTCTCCAGCATCTGAACCGTCATTCGCCACCTCCGCAGCGCTCGATTCTGCCGCCTCCTCTTTTGCAGCTTCGCCTAGTCCTGCAGCAGCATCAGCATCCGTTGCAAGAGCACTAGCTGCAGGAACATCAGCTGCATCAACAGGGGCCTTGGACTCGGGGGTATCCTTCCAGGGAGTCTTAACGGGCTGGTTAAGGACACGTCTTGCCCGCGCCCTCCTGGAGATCCCGTCTCCTCCATCAACACCTGTTGTCTCCATGGTTTGTGGTGTGCACACACCTAGCGAAGAAGAGATACTGGTAGTTCTTAATGGGGTGCTATTCACGCAACCTCGGGTTTCTGCTCAGACCCTGTAAAACGGCTTCTCTATGATACAGTAAAAGAGAAGGATAGCAAAACGGACTCAAACTCGAGTGAAATTCCATCTGATACGGGTTCCCAGTGCGATGTTTTACAGACACCTCAGCGAGTGACGTACCCATTGAGGGTTCGAGCAGAGAATCTGTGCAATAAAAGGGCGACGGCGTGATTGAACCCTCTCAGAAAACTTTAATAAAAGGCAGACAACTGGATACGAACCTCGCTGCTGTCTTAAATGGTGTTTATATGTGCGTTCCGCTGTTTGTGCGTCCACCCGGTTCAGCACTGTTTGCAGCAAGGAGGAGGCAAGGGTGCTGGCAGGCGAGCAAACCGAGTCCTTGAGACGCCGCCGTCTTCTCCTGTTTGCCAATATCCTTCAGAAAATTGAATTAATGTAGTTAGGGCCCTTGCTCGCTGGTTCAGTACTGCTTTTCCGCTGTACACAAAGCAGAGAGCGGGGACGATAGGACAGACCCGAACGGATCGGCAGCCACCAGCGCATCCCCCGAGGGAATTCAATGCAAGAAAAGTACAAGCGGTGGCAAATACGTTCATAAGAAACAACAAAATAAAAAGAAGAGGCGGAAGGAAAGAAGAGGGGAAGCAGAGAGTGCCCGAGCCAGGGAGGGAACCGTGCTGCGGGGCCAGCAGGAAGACCAGAGGCCAACGGCCAGCCGCGCCTCGCCCGAAACCACAAATTAACCTACTTGGTTAATTGACGTTACGGAAAATGTTTCATTCAATCATCACAATAAGTAGTAAATAACAAAAAACCGATTTTTCCGACGAATTTCATGCTTTTGCATTGCGGCACCTCCTGCGCTGAAACGGAGTAAAGCCCAGTGTGTTGCACTTCTCCTGGGGGAAAATGCAATCTCCCGCCCTGGCTAAAACCGAAAAACGTAGTTAAAAACAATGTAAGGGATAAATTTTGTCAAACAGGTTTCGGGGCGCAAACTGGCCAGTACCCCCCCTCCCCCACGGAGTGGCCAGCAGCAGACTCGGGTTTTACGAAATGAACCGAGTACAAAAACCTCTTAAACGATGTCTTTTATCGCCTTCTGTAAATTCTAACGGACTAAAGTCTATTAATAATTCAATTAGGGGAGTAAACCCAGAGTTAGCCTAAGACAAACTAGAGAGCACGTGCGGAAACCGCGAGGCAGCATCGACGCCGGGCGATCGCGCCGGCTCTTCGTTATTCCATTGATGACGTGAGAGGATTTATTTTTCTTAAACTTCAATAAAATAAGGCATATTATGGCCTACGATATGGTTAAAAAGGCATCTCTCAACATTGCAAGTCCGTCCTACCTGCAGCCGCCACTTGCGCGTGCAGTGCAGGAGCTGCAATTCGTGTTTCAATACGCCTCACAAATATGTCCGCAGGAGTTCTTTCCACTTAAATTCAGTACAGAAAAGGAAAGTACATCATAAAAATTGGGAAACTTGCAGGCTCCTTACTTCTTGCTTTCAATAGGAGAGAGCTCCGCCTACACGGGCGACAGACGGGCTCTCGTCGGCTTAGCGTTGACCTGCACGCCTTTAAGGACAACCTCCTCAACAATCGGCCATAAAATTGACGTTTATACCCAAAATGCTAAATCCTAAACCCCAATTAAGCCGCAACTTCAAGGTGGGAGTGCGGCACACCTTCCTTACCACCCTTAAGGACTGCATACGAGACAGAGGAGGAACCCGCAAACGAATTATTATTTGAAATGTTCGTTGCAGCCTCTGTCTACAAGGAATGGCAGCAACAATAGTTCTCTTATGTAATCTTTAAACTTTAAACAATAAAATGCATAATATAAGACGTACACCAGAACACCTGAATGGTGTTCAAATCCTTTTGTCGGGTGTGCAGTGCCTTCGGCGGCAAAACCCTCACTTCTTTAGGGTTTAGGGCTTGTGGCGTATGGTCACCATTGTTAATTATGCAGGCTAAATGTGTGCACCGACGTACATGCAAATAAATTTGCAATGTAACCTTCGTAGTACTAGTATACATGCCTCCTACTAGCAACACGGTTGTGTGTCTCTGTCTCCGTCTTATTCTTAAGGTTCTATTTGCCTCTTGGCTCCGTCATTTGAACGTGATAGTTGTTCTGCCGAGCTAGTATATATATAATATATATATTTAACGTATATTATTGATGGTTTGTGTGAGCGTGTAGTCGCTTAATTTCTCTATCTTTTCTCCATCTACCTCTCTATATACGCTTATGCTTCTGTTTTCTCTCTTCTTTATTGTTCATTTTGCCTAAATTACATATCTGCGCCTTGCTCTATGCAACTCCCCGTCTATAAGGGGACAGACGCAAATATAAACACATATATTGTGCACATAAACTATATCTACCAAAGGGGCTACATCTGCATGTACACCCGAAGACGTGCATGCAACTTCTACACCAAACGTTCAATACTCAATGATGCAGAAACAACAAAAACATACAAATTCCTATAAAGGGGGCCCTAGGAACATCGCTCTGGCCCTTGGGACCTCATACTTGTCCATAGAGCCCCCACCTCTCTTTTTGGGCACTGTGGGCCTCCCCCCTTTGTACTTGGGGGCCCCTCTCTACTTCTTTTATTCTCTACTTTGTCTGTTTAGACCTCGTCTTCTGCTTGGATTGCATCTCTGTGCCTTCATTTTTGCCACCATTCCGAGGGGGCCGCCCTAAGGGGCCCCCTCGGAGACCGCTTGGGGGGCCCTTTGCGACTGCTATTCACCGCCAGGAGGCTTGCTAAGTAATAACGATTCGAGCGGAGATTCGTTTAGAAGCCAAAACTCAAAAACCAGCGGTAGAGGCCCCCGTGTACCCCTTTAGTTGCAGAATAAGGGGGCCCCCCCACCTTTAGGTAGAGGGGGCGGCGGGGCCCCCCTTCCTTCTGCGATTTTGCAACGAAGTGGGCACAAAAAGAGGCTGCAGCACGATCTGCATGCTGCATGCAGAGAAGAACTGCATGCTCACTGAGAGAAGAACCGATAGCAAGTCTATAAATTCAACTTATTATTAAACTGAAGGTGCAGGATAGGGCATAAAAAGGGGGATGGGGGACGGGGGTAAGGGGAGATGCTGTATACGGAGTGCGAATACGATGGGTAACGAACTGTACATTCACCCCAAGGTGTCACTTCAGCTGTTGCCTCCTCATTCGCCTGCTGCGTGCTGCGAACATTCATCGATTATATACACAGATAAAATCATTTTCCTTCTCTCTTGAAGCCTCTCCACCATATTAGCTAGCTAGCTAGCTAGCCAGCTAGCTAGAGAGCCGGCTAGCTAGAGATTCGACTAGCTAGAGATTCGACTAGCCAGCATACTTGGGTAGCTAGCCAGGACGTTGGCTAGCTGGGTAATCATCATGGTTTCCTCCTCGAGGATTCTGTGTTTGTTGGATACAACAGAGCCCCTTATATATCATCATCTGCCTCTTTCTTCTTCTTTTTTCTTCCTTTTTCTTCCTTCTTCCTCTTTCCTTTTCTTCTCCTGTTTCCTTCTCTTCGTCCTCTCCTTCCTTTTCTTCGTCTCCTTCTTCCTTTTCTTCTTCTTCTTTATAGATTAGATATCTTCATCGAATTCTGTTGCACAATAACGAATTCTTTGCTCTGCTTGTCTAAGTATTTCGTTACTGAATCCAGCTAGTCCACCAATAATAGCACCAAGAGGATAACAGAATTGTTGCTCTCTTAATAATGCTAATTTAATTTGGTACTGCATTTCGTCCTCTACATCCATTAGACCAAATATACAGCCAAATGTACCCCCCATAACAAGAGTAAAGAAAAGTACCATATATGCTTGCTCCCTAGACTCAACTAATGGCTTAGATATAGATGATTGAATAAAAGAAAATAAATAATTAACTACATCTACTAAAGAAAATGTTAATGCAAATGCTACAGATACACCCAATATTGTATATATAGGTATTTTTATTAATGCATGCATACCTACAAACCAATTATGTTTTAATAAAAAACATAATATACCAGAGAATACAATTAAACCTGCAAAAAAAGTTAATTGTAATTTACGTCCTTGTGATGAATCATCAACATTTACATTTATTCTCCATAAAATAACAGCACCAACAGTAATAAATACAATACCTAAATATACAGAAAAAAAGGAAGAAACAGATATCTCTACTAATGTACAATTTACTATAAGAGAAGATATTATACCTAATAATACACCAACTAATGCACTTATTGTTCCTTTACATATCATGTCTTTTGTCATCTCTATACGTGTCCAAGGAAAAAGAATTCCTATTAATCCTCCATTTCCCCCTAAATCTATTCTATTAGGAGAATCCCCTGTAGTACCAGCGACGCTACTATAGGTACCCCTTGCTGGGGGCCCCGATGATTTATCCGACCCAAAACCCTTCATTTTATTCAACTTTTCTGTATAATTTTGGATAATTAATGCAAAAATATAAGAAAATTTATCAATTTTTATTCAGAAAATAGAAAAATATACACAGAATAACACCAGATCACCGTTGTCTTTATATACACAAGAGAGGCTTCTTTCTTTCCATCAATAATATATAATTATATAAGAGGAGGCCGCCAACGCCAACCAAGAAATGCTCAATAAACAATTAATTAGAGTTATTTTGCCGATTTATTTATTAATATTTATTAAACAAACAAAAACAAAAGAAATAAATACCCATACTTATACCCACCTCAGTACTCCATCATTCATCCAACCCGACAACAAATCAGCCAACAAACAACACAGTGAGCACAACAAATAAATAAATATTTTTCTTCTTTTGTTTGCTTCTGCTATGTTACTAAATATATTTCTTTTATATTATTTAAATTAAATAATTAAATTTAATTATAATAAATAAAAATTGTATTTATTTATACTT